TTTTTTTAGAAATTATAAACTTTAAATTATAATATTGATTATTGTAAATTAAAATTAGAATCTTAATGAATGTAAATTGAAATTGCATCTTGGTTAATTATTATATTTGACAAAAAAATTGAATTTCAAAAAATTTTGTTGTAAAAAATAAAAATATATGTACTATATTTAACATTTTTCAAAAGATTAAGGGATAGCTTGTCAACAACGAGAAAGAATTCTGTTAATTAGTTAACAGAATGTTTGTTAAGTAGATCATTTTGAAACAAAATTGATAGTTTATAGATTACTTTGAAAGAAAAAATTGTTCCTAAACTAAATTGAAATAAATCACATAGTTAATAGATTACTTATTGAATTTAGCCACCTTTTCCTCTACATTCCTTGTTTAGTGCTAAATATTTCCTTATCAATTGTTGATAATTTTTCTCGTTGTACTTGGGTTTATCTTATGTGTTTTAAGTTTGAAGTGACATCATTCTTAAAGTAATTTATTTCTATGGGAATACTTAGTATGAATTCAATGTTAAAACAAATTTGTAGTGATAATGCACTTGAGTTTTTTTTTTTTTTGGTACTAACCCTCGGTGTCCAAAAACTACATTAGGTCCTGACTAATTCGAAGTTGAGCCAAGTTAGACCCTATATGGGGGGGAAGCTTTCTCAGTGCTTATTTTTTCATTCACAAGACTTGAACTTGAGATCTTACTTAAAGGGAACCAAGCTCATTCCACTCAGACCAATAGGTTGTTGGTTTGCACTTGAGTTTTTTTTTTTTTTTTGGTACCAACCCCCGGTGTCCAAAAACTACATTAGGTCCTGACTAATTCGAAGTTGAGCCAAGTTAGACCTTATATGTGGGGGAAGCTTTCTCAATGCCTATTTTTTCATTCACAAGACTTGAACTTGAAATCTTACTTAAAGGGAACCAAGCTCATTCCACTCAGACCAATAGGTTGTTAGCTTGCACTTGAGTTTTTTTACTTCAAACTTACACTCATATCTTGCAATTCAAGGAATTCTTCATCAAACTAGTTGTGTCTATACTCCACAACAAAATGGTGTTGTTGAAAGAAAACATAGACATTTACTTGAAGTTGAAAGGGCATTGAGATTTCAATCCAATCTTCCATTGCAATTTTGGGGTGAGTGTATCTTAATTGTAGCCTATTTGATTAACTGCATGCCTACTCCTTTACTTGGTAACCACACTCTTTTTGAAACTTTATATAATGTTAAGCCTAGTTATAATCATTTACAAGTGTTTGGTTGTTTATATTTTGCATATAATCATCATCATCCAAATAAGTTTGCACCTCATGCTTGAAAATATGTCTTTCTTGGCTATCCTTTTGGACAAAAGGCTTACAAGCTTTATGACTTGGAAACCAAAATTGTCTTTACTAGTTGAGATGTTGTTTTTCATGAGATTGTGTTTCCTTTTAAGAATAAGCCTTCACTTGAAAATAATCATATTGTTCTACCTTTATCTATTAATGATATTAAGTGCAGTCTTCCTTCTCAGTCATCACCTCCTTCATCGACCTCTTCAACCTCACCAATTAATTCTCCAACACATGCATCACTATCATCCTTACAAATTTCTTCTCCACTTCTTACCCACCCATCCTTACCTTTACCAACTCCTTTTAAATCATCACTAAATTCGCCCTCTATCCAACCTATAAAGTGTCCAACTAGATCTCAAGTTTGTCTGAGATATCTCTCTAATTATCAATGCTTGCCTGCCATTATTGAATCGCTTTTTAAGTCAAGTACTCTATATCCTATTAGTTCTTTTTTATCCATGAAGAATTTATCACCTAGCCATTGTGCTTTTCTTTCTTTTATTTCTTCTGTTCATGAGCCTTCTAGTTATTTCCATGTTGTTAAGGATAAAAATTGGAGAAAAGCAATGGAAGTAAAGATTCAAGCTATAGAGGAAAATCAAACTTGGGTTTTGATTGAGCTACCACCAAATAAAGTTCCAATTGATTGTAAATGGGTCTTCAAAATTAAATATAAAGCTAATGGTACCATTGAGTGATATAAAGCTTGTCTCATCGCCAAAGGTTATGCTTAAGGAAAAGATATTGATTATTATGACACTTTTGCACTAGTTGCTAAATTGGTCACTTTGAGATGTTTATCAGTTATGGCAGCAAATCAAGGATGTCCTTTGCCTCATTTGGATGCTCATAATGATTTTTGCATGGTGAATTGCAAGAAGAGGTCTATATGCGGATACCACCTAATTTTTCTTGTAAGGGGGAGTATCAAGTTTGTAAATTGCAAAAATCATTATATGGTCTTACGCAAGCTTCATGAAATTGGTTTGCTAACCTTTCTAGTGCCTTGTGTAGGAGATTGGTTTTTTGAGTTATCCAATGGATCATTCACTTTTTACTTGAATTGACAATGCTTCTAAGACTTTTGTCTTGGTATATGTTGATGATATCATTGTTACAAGTAATGATGTAGTAGCTATTTCTTCTCTTGAGTCTTGTTTACACGGTAAATTTCATATGAAAGATCTTGGCCCACTTAAATATTTTCTAGACATAGAAGTTGCCAGATCATCCAAAGGCATTTTTCTAAATCAACAAAAATACACTTTGGACATCCTAAACGATATAGATTACATGGGTTGCAAACCTCGTGAATTTCTTATGGACCATAATTTAAAGCTCAATTCTTCTTTTGGTTTTGTATTGCTTGATTTGTTAATTTATCGTCAACTTGTTAGTCATCTCTTGTATCTCACTATCACATGACCAAATATCACTTTTGTTGTTAATTTTCTTAGTCAATTTATGCACCAGCCGCGACAACCTCACCTTGATGTTGCAGTTCAAGTTTTGCGTTATTTTAAGTTTACACCTACTCATGGCCTTCTTTTAGCTTCTATAGGCAATTTTCAACTTACAACTTCTTGTGACTCTGATTAGGCCTCTTGTCCCATAACACAACGATCAACCACTAGTTATTGTATTTTTCTTGGTAGGAGTCTTATTTCCTAGCGCACAAAAAATAACACGTTGTTTCGCGTTCTTCAACCAAGGCTTGATATGGCTTCCATAACTTGTGAGCGCACTTGGACTCAATACTTGCTTTATTTTTTTGTTGTTGCACATCCTTAACCTTCACTGCTATTTTGTACCAACAAGGTTGCTGATGTTGTAGCTAATCCAGTTTTCCATGAGCGTACAAAACATATAGAGATAAACTATTATCTTGTTCATGAAAAGATATAAGCTGGTTTGCTTTAAAGTGCTCATGGTTAATCACAAAATCAATTGGCAGATAATTTTACAAAGGATTTGGGCAAGGATTGCTTCAACTTTCTCAAACACAACTTGGGCCTTCATTCCATTTAAGCTCCAACTTGAGGGGGACTCTTCGAAATATATTTACAATTTCAATTTGCACTTATTTTGTTATTTGGTTTTTTCTGTTTTGCTTTATCTGTTTCTTTGTTGATTTTCCTTGATTTTCTCCACTTTTATGCAACCACTATATCTTACTACTTGTATATATATAGTTCATAGAAGCAATGAAAATATATCAAATTCCACCCGATTTTGTAGTTATTGTATCTTTTTAACATTATTTAGAAGTATAAAATTTTGTGTAATTATTTACATCGCATTTAACAATTTTCTTAATGATACCACATGTTTATAATATAGATCTAATGGCCACACTTTTTTTTATACAATTGGGAATTCATATATGATTAATGGTCATGAGTTAGGGGGATGCAGTCCATGGTAAGCAAAACTTTTGGTGTAATGAATTTTTGTCACATGGCAAAAATGAAAGGAAGTGATTAACTATTCCACAAAATCAAGAAAGTTGCTAGTATGGTGCATAATTGTTCAGTTTAGTTGACAAAAATCAAAAACGGTTCTAACAAGCTTGATTTTAGGAATTTTTTACGACCAGAATTTTATTTCTGATAAATAATTGACATCTGATAAAAATGTATTTCGCAAGAAAAGATTCAAAGCTGTTGAGATTACTTTAATTTAGTGA